AAAAAAAAAAAAAAAAAAAAAAGTCAAATTTCTTAGTCCTAGCAAACCTAGCCATATCAAGCACGTTAAGGCTCGGCTCAAACTTCAATTTGTCCATCCCTCTGTCATCCCGTAAACAAAAGTATTTTTCTGTGTCAATTGCATTGTTACTTGCAAGGCATTTTATTTTCATTACACCGTGGAATGTTTGGACGACGTTACGAAAGTAGTGGGAAATAATTAATAATCAGGTTATTAAGCGCTCGATTTTTGCAGGAATGTTAATAGCACTTTGTATCAGATATAGGCCCCTCTTTTGTTAAAGTGCAACTAACCCTCCGAATTATATTTCGCCTACATATGTCTCGTTGCCTTTCTGATCACCATGGCGAAAAAATGGTCTTTGTAGCTAGTTTCGTTAATTTTCTTTTCGCAAAATTGACCTTTTCCACGGCCACAATGTTCCCCGATCGAAGCGAAGCCAAGGAGAACACCGAGGCTCAAGGGGAACAAAACTCACTGTTTCCCGAGGGGTCATTCATTAAATGTTTTGTTGTACCTCGCAACTAGAAAGTAAAATAAACTGCAAGAAAAAATTATTTGCTTGACGCCGACTACTGTAGGAAAAAACTGTTTTTCACGGCGAGCCTCTTCGCTGAGCGGGCACTATCGTCTGATAGTCGCCCGTGGGCGTTCTATCACCGGAGATATTACCACATCATCCGTTTTGGCCAAGGACAACAAAGGACATTTTAGTGGTGAACTAAGAAAGTGAATAGACAGCAGTGGGATTGCAGATTGGCGGATTTCCACCAGAGATGATATTATTATTTCAGTTTTCCTCAATTTGGAAAGCCGCGTGTTCGTCATCTGTGATCAATCATCATTAAAGCCCCGTCCGCTATAGGCCAGAGATTTGAAAACGGAGGTTTCACTCTGAAAACGCATCAAATGTTATCCGTCCACACTACCCCGAAGGAATTTGAGAATGCAACAATCAACGGTCATTTTGTGGTTGAGGAAACCTCGGTCAGGGATATTACATGATTATCGTGACGCTGCCGTTTTCGAAAAGCTCCTAGCTTTTTCAAAACGTTTCCCGTCATCACGAAAACGAGAAGCCAGCGTCTTCAAATTAATCCGGTTTGAAGAGTGTTTTCGAAAAGCTCCATTTTCAAAGTGTTTTCTGCCTATACGAAAACGAAAAGCCGGCGATATCAAATTTCTCCGGTTTGGAGAACGTTTTTCGAAAAGATCCGTTTTCGTGACGGATTATGGTGGACGGACGGAAATTAGATAAAGCTGAAATTCCTCCGGCGCAGTGTGACAAGGACTGAAGAGACGGATGCTCTGTAACATGGAATATATTTGTTTTTATATAATAAAGAAACAAACAAAATGTTAATGACGTCATCTATGCGTCTGTCCTCAAATTGTTCATAAGTAAGAACCAATCAAAATGCGAGAATAGCTCGACATGTGATATCAATACTAGTTGTGCCTCCATTATGGTCAATAAACAGTTTGTCGACTTCTGAACGGCTTATTTTTGTCAGGTGACTGCCGATGAACAAGAAAGAAGAAGAATACGAAGGGAGAGGAACAAAGTGGCCGCCTCTAAATGTCGCAAGAAGAGAAAGGAGCACGTGAAAACACTAGTCGAGGTAATCATTCAGTTTGCAGTGTTGACTCTTACCAGTGAGCAGAGAAATCCGCAAATCTTGGCATGAGAAAGGTTCGCAGGACACATTGCAATGAAAAAGCTCATTGTATGTGGACATGTGTTGCCTAGATCACGGTTCAGCGGTGTACATGCCTTTGTCATGCTCCCCTGTTCCTTGTCTCTGGTCAGCACTTTAAGGGAGCCCCTCCCCTTTCACATCGGTCGGAAGAGACGCAAAATAAATGCAATAGCCTCGGCAAGTGAATATGAGTTGTTGACAAAGCTTGTTCGGTCAATATGGCTGGATATTGGCCAAAAAAGAACGAGGCCAATATCCAGCCATATTGACCGAGCAAGCTTGGTCAATAACGGATTTATATATAGCTTTCGCGGAGAATTTTCTTGCGGGACACAGCAGGTAGCCCCAAGCGGGCAAGGTAGTGACATCCTGCCCGCTCGGGTAGCCGATCACGGCGCAGAATTTGGTTGATCTTGTCCGCTCACGGAACTAGTCATATCACAAGTTGTACTATTAGGTGGCCCCTTACTCGTCTTGGTGGTAAGGCATCTTATTCAATATAGACTTTATCAAGAATTGTCACAGACGAATTGTCACAGAATCGAACAAACCATTTATTTTCATGTAGGCATCCGAAGAGCTGGAACATCAAAACAACGACCTTCAAGGTCAGATCAGCAAGCTGCAGGCAGAAATAAAGCAACTGGAATTCATGTTGGATTCCCACAGCTGTGCCAAATATTCCCACGGACAACAGGATGATAACGAGCTTGGATTAAACGTTAATTAGTGATGGGGACAAGTGAGAGAGAAAAAAATCACCTGGAGCAATGCTCCATCATTATGATTTAAGATGAAGAGCTATAAATACCACGCGTGTGCGAGCGTGGAACGGGTGCCACACCGTGACAAGAAGAAATCCCGCGTGCTCTCACCTGAAGCGCGTAGGTGACAAGCGTGGTATCGCGTTATTCTTCATCATTTGTGCTAACGTAAGGGAGGCGCTTTTTGAATGATGTAAGTTTTTGTTTGCTGTATAAGAGGCTTGCTGGTTTACGACAAATTTGGTAAAACAAAATCCTACAAAATAAGGAGTAATCATCCAACGAAACTTCGGAAAGTTTATTATGGATTAAAAGTCGTTTTGAAAATTAAACCTCGGAGGATGAATGTTTTACTGAGTCAAGTGTGGTTGCGTTGCTGGTAAAACGAACGTTTTTGTTTGTGAATGAAAAATATGATAAGTTAATTTCAAAAGTTGCGTATTAATTAATTGATAAAAGAAGCTGCAGTCTGCTTGCATTGAAGATAAACTCATAGCGCTGTTTAGGCTTGCCACTTGTATAGATGATTCGAAAATTAAAGTGATTAAAAATTGAGAAAGTAAAAGCTTAAATGTGTCTTAACTATTAAAACTCCCCTAAATACTGCTAGATCCCCTAGGTTGATTAACTTCTGTCTTCTCCCTGCAATAATTTCAATATCAGTTAAGGACGGTGCCTACTAAATACAAAGCCGTCCTTTCGCCAGATTAGGACCATGTGGAAAAATTAGACCTTTTGCAAGAGCTATTGGAAGCCGCAGAGAAAACTAGGGATAGCCACGCATTTTTCGGAGATAATTAGCATGGAATCTCCCTCGAACAAAAATGCTGACGTCAGAAGTAATTAATTAATTATTTTTTAATTAGTATTTTGACTTTAATGAGCCCCCTCCCCCAATTGTAAAAGCGACATTCTAAATGATTACTTGCGCGAACTATTCAAACTCAATTTTCATTGGTTATTGATACTCTGGGGAAAATGCAAATGACAGTACAAAATAATTTGCATATGTACCAACACATCACTCTACTCGAAGCGAAGAAAGGGAAGAGTTGGCAACCTACCCTCTCACCCAACTAGTAAGTCAGTCTGGATCGTGTATGCTTCTATTTTTTGCCTGGTCTTGGGCTTGTCCCAGACCAGAGAGATTACCCATACCTTATTACCATGTCATGAATAGCAATACCCAGGGTGGAATATTACACTGTGTAGTCTACTTTCATCTGAATGTTAAAGTGGACAAAGACATCCACGTAACGCGCGTGGTAACCCAATCCGCGGGAGAACTGAGTACCATCCCTTGAAATAAACACGAGGGGTATTTCCATAGAAATAAAGTCTATATCATTAATGACCTATATGGGATTCTCATCCTCTCTTGTTTGGAATAAACAAGAGAAAGGTTTTAGGGACTGTAGAAACCCCCTACTGTTAATAAAAGTATATTGAATTTTATTTAAGTTATGTTTCTCTGCGATTTGTTATGCCAAAAAAAAAAAAACAAAAAAAACAAAAACAAAAACAAAAACAAAAAATCGCGGACGACTATTTAAGTGTGCAAGCTGGACTTTTTTTACTAATCCCAGCTCGACAATGGTTTTTACCCGGTAGCGCATAAGCGTGAGAGTGAACAGGAGCAACATAAGTCGAACCGAAAAAAAAGTGCTGTGCTGTTAGGGAAATTAATCTTCCCAACGAAGTGCACCAATGTTCAACATTTTTTTTGCGGCTGCCAGTGTTTCTCATGCTTTAGCCTAGGTTGGTTTGCCTTAAAATATTACGATTTAACCAATGAGTACTGAGCAGTGATTGACAAGCTCCAATTATAGATAACGTTTTCAGTGCTCGTCACATTTGTGTAAATTTACAGAACTTATAAGTTCACTGGGGTGAGGCAGCTTTCTCTGGTGTCCATTCGATCGGAGTTGATTGGCGAGATTTGATGTCGTCTGAACATTGGATCGGGACTCTCTGTGTTGGTACACAGGTTACCCATGGCATGCTTTTCTGACCAGGCGCTTGAGTTTTCTACCACTGAGCGAGAGCCCGGAAAGTTGCTATTCTTTGTGTTTTCCATTTCTGCTTCTTTCGAAGATACGCGGTGCGAACATCTGTGCTTCGGAGAACGTGCATTATGAAAATGAAGAATCCCTGCAAGGAAATGTGCTTCGTTTAAGCAAAGTGTGAACGCAGCCTTGTTAAAAGTATTAATAAAATCGTTCTCGTTTATTTTTACCTGTTGATAGTTTTTTAAGCAAATTCGTTTAGCGCTTCATAACAAGGAATTGCTTCATTGACGTGATCGCTACTAATTGTTGGACCTTATTCTGGCAGAAGTATGGCCTTATCTTATACATTATTAGTTAAATCAAACGCACGCTAAATAGATAAGAACTTCTAGGCATTTTCGCTAACAAGCCTTCTGTCCTTCTTCTTTTGTTCATAATAGAGATACGAGACTCAGATACTGGACCTGTGACTAAGACTCTAAGAAACGGCAAAGGATTAACATGGAGCTCTATAGAAATATTTCTGGACAGTGAAATTGGCAAGGATCAAGTTTTTTCTATTCCTGTCCAAGAAACACTGAACAAAATCTTTTCTTCGCTACATGTCAAGCACTCTTAAATACACCTCTGTCTGGGAGGATTCCACAAGCACTCCCCGCGTTGTTGACATTAAATTAATTAGTTGTTTACCTACCTGAAGCGAATTGAGAATGGTGAAGATGTACTGAAAGACAAGTCCAGCATCCGTCACGCTTAAAATACCAAACACCCAGGTCATACCCAGTAGAGGAAACAGAACTGCACATGCCTTTAAACCTTGCCTTTAAACAAAATGAAAGAAAGCGTTAACATGTAAATTTTGAGTTTTTTTTCCAAACGAGAAAAATATAGTCCAGCCTGCTGGAAGCCACAAAGGTAAGCTAAGGAGAAATGATGACTGAAGTTTTAAAGTAACATACTTCACGTTGGAGGTATCTTTTGTTCCCTGCATTTTTGTCATCTCGTACACCACGCGACAAAGAATAAAAGAGTTTATCTGAAGAATTAAGAAAAAAAGGAGGTGATGTCAAGGATAATACTAAAAACTTTTATAGAAATCAATATCCAAACTTTAAAGTGGTACATGACGAAGTTCGCATCTTTCCAATCTACGCCATTTTCAAACATAAACAAGTAGTCTCTAAGAGCGTGGTGGCCTCATGGTTAGCACGTTCGTCTCCGGATCGAGCGGTCCGGGTTCGAACCCTGGCCGGGAACATCTTGGTCAAGACACTTTACTCTCACAGTGCCTCTCTCCACCCAGATTTATCAATGGGTACCGGTAAGTTTAATGCTGGGGATAACCCTGCGAAGGACTAGCATCCATCCAGGGTGGAGTAGAAATACTCCTAGTTACTTCATGCTATAGAAACTGGTGTAAGCTCCGGCCTTGTGGGCCACTTGGCTCGTATGCAGACTTTACCTGTACGAGAAGAAAAATGCGGTTTACTATTTTTAAATATTTCTTTTCGTTCCAGAGATATTCAAGTTTTTAAAATACACAAATTGGCCAAGTGATGACGTCATTAACTGAACTAAATTTTTATCAAATATGATGAAGAAATGTTTGATTATCTGCAGTAAGATTGAACTAGATGAGCTTCACAGTATGAGTTTAACAATTTGGTTACCATGGCAACATACTAGGTTCGAGATCTTCCAGAAAGCTTTTCTGGCCACCTTTAGCGCTGCATTTTGATATTTGCTAAGGGTGCCCCATGTCCATGTCCAATATTGGTTTGAGTGTAAGATATCATCAGTCATCTCATTTGCATATTTTATTGGTTTTTCAAACTTAAATATCTCCGGAACTAATGCAGATACTAACAAACGGTGAACGGAGTTTACAATCTTTCGAGATTTTCTATGCGATACACCTTTAAATTCAAGGGGTTAAAACTCGGTACTACTTAAACAATGTTTTAACAAGAGCAGGCTCGGCTTATTCTGTTAGTTTGACGAAATGACTCATCAACTTTCACTAATCCTCTAAACAACAACCAAATGTGTTTTTTTCCAATGGGACACTACCGGTTGTTGTAAGTAATGGCATTTAAAATGGTTGATACATGCATTGCAAGATTCGTCGATGACGTTTTTGATATTAAGTAAATGATGATTTTTTTTAGGGTCGACATTTGCGTGAATAACTATGTATATGCCAACTAGTTTCACAGATAAAAAATGTAACAACTATAATTTTACCAGGCAGACCACGAGGACTGGGGCGGCAAAGGTCCAAACCAAATTATTTGAGAATGAAATCCAACAGCTGCAAAAACAAGATACATGCTATACGTTATAAGACCACACACACAAAAACAATCAATCAATCAATCAATCAATCAATCAAT